GCGATACAAGAATGAAATGAAGAAATTTAGTTGGTTGACAAGGAATATGTTGGTCACTGTACAGTGGGTGGGGAGATCAGCAAATACTTTGTCAGATATGTTAGCTAAGCAAGGGGTAAATAGGGAAGAATTATTTTGGGCTCAGTTGTKRTTYTTRTTTTTCTTTCCTAGTTTATTTGTAAGTTTCAAGGAGGGGCTGCAGCTCGCGCCTTTCGCTGGGATGATGTATGAACTCACTCTAAATTTGTTTCTGAATCAATAAATTTATTATTATTCATCAAAAAAAAAAACTAGGGGAATTCTTGTGATTTCTCTGATCAGTTAAAACAGTTAACACGAAAGATAGTGGGGGTTCAGAATGGCTCCCACAAATGGAGTGTGCTTTCATCCATTCTCCTCTTCTCCTTCTTTGATCATTAATGTCTAGTTTATTTTCTGATAATTATTGCTGTTACAAGATAAGTGCATGCTAGGTCCAATAGCAAAGACAGGAATGAAAATGTGCACAAGCAAGAGATACAAAGCCACTTTTATTACCTTAATAGTAGGACTAAGAAACTAGAGGACAAAATGTATGTACCTGTTTTACACCTTGATGAGGAGATGCTCCACTTCCTGGCTCATGACTAGCATTAGATGCGGCCACAGTTTCATCCTTATCTTCTTTTGTGTGCTATGGCAACATAGGGAAAAAAATCAGATCCATCTTATAAACATATATATAAACAATTAGTTAAAAATACTTGCAACTAAATAAAAGAATTAAATACATGTTTTTCCTGTTCAGATGAACATGTTGTGAATGGAAATCACTAACAAGCACCATTCAAATGGAATTATTCAGTTATTATGATGCAGGGGTTTTCATGCCTGTTAGAGTCAGCTGAGTAGGCCCAGCCTCAGGCTAGGCTTGGACACAAAACCGAGGCCCAAGCCCAGAAATTTATGGGCTAGGATGGGTTGAGCTTCTTGTCTAGACTAGGAATGATCTCCACTAAGCTGTGTATGTGTGATATACACAACCCAACTTGACAGGGATTTTTGTAAATATTTAATTAATAGAAGAAGAATGAAGTGGTGGTGGTGGTGGTGGCAATGGCTGAGAAAAAAAGAAGGCAAAGGTTTTTCTTTACCTCTTTCTTTCTCCCTCCTCTCTCTCTCTCTTTCTCCTCTTAGTTTTTTTAGGTTAAGACTTCTCTAGTTGAATGGTTGATAAGACAAGTTTTAATTTTTAATTTTCAACTAATATTTTTAGGTTTGACTGGTTAATGTTTAGTTTTCAATAATCAAAACGTGTTAGCAAAGAGAGATGGTATGAATCATGAACCTTAGATTGGGTTGGTTAAGAGGTTGAATAGGTTGAATAGATTTTGACCAAGTCAAATGGTGTTTTGTGTATTAACAGGTTTGAAGTTGGACCGGACTGTCTTGGCCTCTAGGTGATGGGTAAAAACAACGGGTTGAAAACATTGATCACCTCAATGGAAACTTTATACAACATTGAGCAAAGATTGGCATAGATAACAAAGCCATTCCAATCATCCTCCCAAAAATCAATCCTAGAGCCATCCCCAACATTGACGCTCTAATCAAGCTTCAGCATATTTCTTCTTCATCCATGACATGGACTCATTGTAGAGGTGGCACCAATCACCATTTACTGGTTCCATTTCAGGTAAAAGACTGCTTAAACACATGCTCCATGTTATACACCAGCTATAAGGGAAGTATACCACAATTTTCAACTAGTATTTGTCATTCTAGAGTTCATTCTTGAGACTTATTATTTATTGAGAATAACTTCTCCAGTTGCTTTTCAATGATTTATAACCTAGCCCCTCAAATATTTTGGCAACTGAACTCCTGGGTGTTTAAAAGGCAAATGGGCTACACAGCCGCGGGGAAGGGGGACTGAAGGCAGGATAAGATCCCAGGTCTCACAATCCGGTTAGCACCTTCTTTAACATATATGTTTGGAGAAGTTGCATTCCATGAATTAGAGCACATATACATCACATTTACTTTGACCAAGGGCTGAGGAATGGCAGGCCCATGAACCATGGAGGATTGATCATATATGTCTAAAAGAGCATCACAAAATGTCTAAAGACAAACTATAGAATCCCAAAATATCAATGCCATCAACAACACAAAAATAAATCTGTGTTTTTTTTCTCATGAAAGAGCAATAATTACAAAATTCCATAATTTACACACCCAAGGATATGTAAGGGGACTTGATCTTTCAAATGTTGGATAAGAGATGGAACAAAAAATTATCATAAAAGGATAAAAAGAAACTAAAGCATAAAAACTCAATGGCTATCTCTCCAACCTCATCGACTGGAGGGTCTTCTAAAACACCAGTTTTGTCATCATGTGAAGTTTCAATGGCTTGTCTTTCCTCATTAACTTTCTGCTCAGCTTCTTTTTTTCTCTTCTGTTCCTTCTCCTTTTCCAAGCGCTCCTGCTCCTCTAGCTTTTCTATCTGTTCCTTTTGTGCTATATGGGAGGTAAAGGAAAAACACTATTATACAAGAGAAAACCTCAACTTACAAATCAAATAGATAAATGGGATGCTTAGCCATCTCCTGTAAGTAGGAAAAGAGACCTACCCAATATTTGTTTCACATGTTTCCATATTTAGGACTAACAAGTATTAAAACACTCTCCACCCATCCACATGAACTTAATCAAATACCATGTGCACAAACATGTATTAAATAAAGAACGTTAATGCATCATTGTTCCTACTATATATACACATATGTACATATACATATGCATATATCATTGGCAACATCAACACAGGAGTATGCAATAAAGAAAAATAATTTTTTGGCTCAGCATATGATGCAGGACAAATGTTTTTGGAATCACATTCAGTCATGATGAGAAAATATTCATTGAGAATACCAGTAGATATGTTGAATATTTGCTAGGAAAGATGTTTCTTTCTTTCCACTGTTTTTGGTAGGTACTGGTGGGGTAAGACCTGCAGCCTCACAGTTGACATTGAGGTAACATATATCAAAATATTTAATCTATATAACACTCCAATGTGCACTGAACATCCACAAATATCATCTACCGGAATGAGATAAAAAGCCATTACTAAATGTTGCCCCAACTATTTGGGTGTTGGGATGGGCACACTGACATAGTCCTAAGTCCTATTGATCAAAAAAAAAAAAAGATATAGTCCTAAGTCCTAACCTTTGGCTTTTTTTTTGCACAAAGTGGCCGCATTCAGAATTGAAACTGCATACTCACACTTGCAAGCCCTAGATTTTACCATTACACCAAACGATGACCCCTATCCTACTAGAATGATATTAGTTTCAGAAATTCACCAATACAAATATGACCCTTACAATTTCAAGTATATTACTTCTGTAATATACCAGAATGTCTATATTTTTGGAAGCAAGCAAAAGTGTCCATTTATATCTTTAGCATATTTGATATTTTAAACATCAAATAAAAGGCTACTCTAATTTATTTGATTATTTAAAGCCCCCACAGAGCTAGGACAATTCAAGCCTGTAATATTCTTGCTAATCAACTAAAGTTATTAAAAACAAACAGAAGATATTCAGAACAGTAAAGAAGAAGGATGAAGAAGAGGAGAGAAGAGAAATGAGCATCCGGAAGAATGAACCATAGGTGTATTGCAGTCCCCACACTCATATAGTCATGTTATCAAATTGAGTATAATTACAAGTGTAATGACTCATCTGCCCTAATAGGCAGCAGCAATAAAAAGAAAAGAGAAGTGGCCCAATAGGCCCAAAACATAATCATCCCAATAACACTCAATAATAAATAAAGATAAGTAAGAGGTCCACAAGGACCCTACAGCCTAACATTACTCAACAGTTCCAATTGCTCCACTGTAGCAATAAATGGTAGACAAGCATCTCAAGATGCAACTTTTCCCTTATGAAATGTCTATCCACCTCAATATGTTTTTTCCAATCAGATAGGATTATGGACTATATTAATGGTTACTCGGTTGTTGCAGTACAAGTGTACAACATCATAAGCTTCTCCTAAACAACACTGAATTCCCTTTAAGCCACAACAATTTTGACACACAGTGAGCCATTGCTCTATACTCTACCTTAACTTGTGACCTTGCCACCACAGATTGTTTCTTGCTTTGCCAAGAAACTAAGTTTCCACCACCACCAACAAGAGTATAGTACTAAGAAATAGACTGCCAACCTTCAACACAACCAGCCCAGTCTGTGTCAGTGTATGCCTCCACCCTCATATGTCCATGATTAGCAAGTAAAGTGCCTCTAACTAGAGTACCTTTCAAGTAGCATAGAACCCTCTTTGCTACAACTAAATTAATATCCTGGGGAAAACACATAAACCAGCTAACCAAACTAACAGCATAGTAAATGTCTAGCCGAGTCATGCACAGGTAAAGTAGCTTACCAACCACTCAACCAGCCTCTGAACACTCCCTTATCCTGCAATAGTTCTCTTAATTGCAGACAACTTATGATTGAAATCAATGGGTGTAGAAATAGGCTTGTCCCCAAAGTTTTCCTGTCTCCTTCTGTCCTTCAACAAATTCAGCACATACTTTTCTTGGAATATAAAAAGCCATCATTGGAACTTTCTACTTTATGCCCAAGAAGTATTTCAAGTCAGCAAGGTCTTTAATCTCAAATTTAGCATGGAGGAACTACTTAAGCCCCCCAATCTCTTATAAATCACTACTTGTTACCACAATATCATCTACACAATAAGGGCAGTATGAAGAGACCTCCTCTTAACAAACAATATATGATACAATTGTGCTTGTGTATAACCAAATTGAACAAAGGCACCTCTAAATCTCTCAAACGAAGCCTTGGAAGACTGCTTTAGACCATAGAGAGACTTCTTCAACTGACATACCTATCCATTTTCTTCTTTACCATACATGCCAGGTGGGAGAGTCATATAAACTTTCTCTTGAAGTTTTTTTTTTTTTTGAGGAAAGGTAAAGTATATATATGGTATAAAAATTCTCTAAATATATATATATATAGTGTAAAAATGATGGATGTACATGGGGTGAAGAATCCCCGAGTTAATTTTATGTTGTATAATTACAAAAAGAGGGTATCTATTGAGATGTGTGCTTTTGCCCAAGAATATTTTTTCTAATATGTTGTGTATAATTTCTTCAATATGAGAGGATTTTCCTTCAAAAATTCTGCTGTTCTTTCCCATCCAAATAGAGCAAAACATTGTTGCAGGTAGCATATTCCAGATGGTTCAGCCATTACCAGAAAAACCTCCAGTATTCAGCTGTTTAGAAAGTTCTGGACAGAACTAGGGAAGATCAAGCATAAGTGCACATTGTCTTTGGTGAGGCATTTGCCATGTGCAGCAGTCCAAACTAGGAATGCAACTTTGGATGGTACTTTCCCTGCCCAAACAACCTTGTGAGGGAAAGTGGTTCTGTCCAAGTTAAGGTGTTGTACTATGGACTTCACATAAAAAACTCCCTTCTTGTCTCATTTCCAGATTCTACTGTCCTCTTCTGAACTAACAGGCTGAAATTGTTGAAGGTGGAGAAGCAAGTCTTTTAGACTTTTCAATTTCCAAGTAAACAGGTTTTTTACTAAAAATTGGGGGACCAACAGCCATTAGCTCCTTCATTAGAGAAAACCTCAGCAATAGTTGCCCCTTTGTGGGTGGCTGCATTGAAGAGGTTGGATAGGATTCATCCAATGGTCTATCTCCACACCAAAGAGTCCAGCCAAAATCTCAGCCAAGTACTATTGCCCAATATGATTCTTTCTAGAAATTGAGTTTTGAGTTTTCTGAATGCCTTTCCAAACAGCAATGGGGGTGGTACAAGAAGCTTGATTAGTATCCTAGAGAGACCATAATTATTTTCAATCAAAAGTCTCCACCAACTATTTCTTTCAGCATTGAACCTCCAATGCTACTTACTGAGAAGAGCTGTGTTCGAATTTCTGATCCAGTAAATTCCAAGGCCTCCCATCAGTTTGGGAGAACTGATCTTGGCCTAATCAACAAGATGAATTTTTTTGTCATCTTTCCACCCTTTACAGAGGAAATCTCTTTGTATCTCTTCTTCCAAGCTGCTTGCAACTTTTGAGGGGATCTTAAACATAGAGAGGTAAACTTCCCCTTGAAGATCCCCATTCAAGAATGCATTCTTTACATCAAATTAATATGGGGACCATGAGTATGTAGCAACCTCCTAAGTCAACAAAACCCTCATCGAGGGTGCAAAGGTCTAATAAACACCATACATTTGGATATAGCCTGTTGGCAACCAATCTAGCCTTGTATTTCTCAATAGTACCATCAGCAATATACTTGATATCATACACCCACTTACATCCAATCGACTCCTTCCCTGCAAGAAAACCAACAACATCCAGTGTCTGGTTTTTCTACAATGTAACCATTTTAGTTCTTATTCATCCAAGGTTCAAAACATTGCAACATATTGGTTTTCAAAATCACCAAAATGCTAGATACAGAGAGTTAGGGCTGTTCAATGGGTTTAAATATTGATATTATCCTCGTATATGGATTTTTAAATCTTCAAACTGAAAAAATAAAAAAAATAATAATAATAATAATAACATTTGGTGCCTAGTTGTCCCTTGTCTAGCCAAGATATCCACCATCCCAATTGTTGATCTTCTCACACATTTAAAGACAACATTCAGCTCCCTTGTGGAATCCAAATTGCTTAGCAAATTTCAAGCCATGGAACAGCCCACACAGCTCTGCTGTCAATGCATTGCCATCTGCTAATGGTCCTGAAAACAATGCTAACACATTTCCTTCTGTGTCTAGGAAAACTCCTATTCCTGCCACAGCCTGATTCCCAATATAACTCCCACCAAAGTTGAGTTTAACAAAGTTGGTTGCTCGGGGTCTCCATTCCATGTTTACTCTTTCCTTGATTTGAGCCGATAATGTCACTTCCTTCCAAGTTCTCGGAATGTTGTTTATCAAGAAACCTTGGAAATCCTCCATAGTCATCACCCACTGTGCCACTTTAATTTTCACCTTATCAAGGATCTCGGATCTCCATCCCTTCTTGTATTTTATCACCTTTTTATTTGTTCCAATCCCAAACAACCCTCCTTTTAATCTAGCAGATACATTTGACACCAGAAGGTGCAGAACAGGTTGATGCTTTTTCTAATTTTTGAACCTTTTGACTACGAGATTATCCTTCCTGAGCTTCAACAAATTCCTGGTCTCCTCATTAATTCTTTCCAATTCAAAACTGTGTTCTTCTCAAAAAATTGATCTTCCTCCAAGTTTCACCCCCATCACTGCTAGCTCTTGCATTTCCAACAGATGTCTGTCTAATCCTAAAGTCTTTAGATCTTGAATTATTGAATTATTTTTGTTGAGATAACTTTTTTATGTTTAGTCTTGGGAGGCAGGGTAATCTAGTAACTTCCAGGATAAAATAAGGGTGCTCCAGTCCTAAAATTATTATAAACAGGGGCACTATTGTACTTGCACTTATTTTTCATTAATATATATGTTGGGCCGACTTTCTTAGAGAGATTAGACTCTAATCTTCTCTGCTAAGAGAGTTTCAGCTGTTTCTCTTGACCCTAATCCCTCTTTCTCTTCTCCATCTCTTCTCTTTCTTCTTCCTGGTCTGAATACTAATACAGCTCCATTACAATTTTCTTTCGTGCATACACCAATCTCCCTCGTGGGCATTGAATATCTTCCTTCCAATTCCTCAAACATCTTTCTAGTATAATACTCTCCACCTAAAACCAATATTCCCAAAGCTTCATTCACTTCTACTTCTGTATTTACAACCTTCTCCAGATCAACGAAGTTTTTAATTTCATGGGTTTCATTTATCATAATCTCCTCTTCACTTGAGTCATCATCTTCATCTTCCTCTCTTTCACTCCCCCCCTCCCCCTCATCCTCACTATCTTTTAAATGTGTAGTATGGTACTCTCTCCTCCTGTTGTAGGTCCTTAACATGTCAACCCTGCCTTCTTCTTTCTCTCTACTCCCCCCCCCCCCCTCTTTGCCAATACCTTCAACCCTCGGCCCAAAACTTATGGGCCCATAGTTCCTTGATCCAGTCTCAATTCCAAGCAAACCCACTGGGTTCTCCCCCATGTGAACTTTTAAAGTATCACGTACCTAGATATGAACAGCTGATTCCAAACCAACCCACAATATGGTCAATTCAACACAACATGGTAGGGTTTCACCAACCACAAAACCAGGTACACCTTCTGGGCTTCCAAATAGCAATCAATGATCTCCAAACTCTTCTACCAACTAGGCAACAATAAGTGGTAATGATCAGCAACTCATCTCCCCATACACATTGTTGATCCTAGAGTGTATGACCTAAAAAAGAAAGAAAAGAAAGGACTGCTCCGATACCAAGATGTGATTCAAAAATATAATATTCTTGCAAATAAACTATTGTTTATTGATTGAAAACAAGTAGAAGATATTCAGAACAGTATAGAAGAAGGAACAAGAGAAGAGAAGAGAAATAGGTTTTGCAAAGAATGAATCATGAGATAGGTTTGGGGAAGAATGAATCATCAGGTGCATTGCAGTCCCCACACTCATATTATTAAATTGAGTGCAATTACTAGTGTAATGACTAATCTGCCGATAATAGATGGCAGCAATAAAAACAAAAGAAAAGTGGCCCAATATAGACCCATAACATAATCATCCCAATAACACTAAATAATAAGTAAAGTAAGAGGTCACAAGGACCCTACAGCCCAATATTACTTAACAGCAACAATCACTAAATGATTAAAAAAAAGTGTAGTTGATAAATAAATAAATAAATAAAGACTTGTATTGGATTAGCACTCCATAGAAAATTTACATAAATAGAAAAAATGAGGACAAGACTATACCTTTGAGCTGTTGAACAAGACCTTTGAGTATCTTCTCCTCACTTTTCAGCCTTGACAGTTCTGCTTCATCTTTAACAATTGCTTGTTTTGCTTGTTCTACTTCCTTCTTTCTTATAGTAACCCCCTCCCTATATGTTGCAATTTTCTTGTTCAGTTTTTCCCGAGCCACTTTGCCAGATTCCCAACATGTATTTAGACACTTCACCTTACCATCATACTCATCACTCCCATCACAACAATCTGTTTATTTTGGATAAATTGAATCAAAAGAAAAGAGAATTGAATAATGATAAAATAAATGAAGAAAATGATGACCAAAAAAGAACCATTCTACTAAGACGTTGAGGATTCTTTATTCCCCAACTTTGCTGAATTTGAAGTCATGAATTAACAGATGTAGCCTAGGTTGGAGACTTGGGAGTCTTGGATGTAAATAAACAAGAACAGTATCACATGAAATAAATGCAAAAATGACCAACAGAAAAAGGACTTTTATTATGGCATGGAGTTTCATTTTGAGGAATGGGGTTAGGTATGCCATTAAAAGAGAGAAAAAGTTTGAGTTCAAGTTCACACACAGTGTAAAAAGAAAATTCAACCCAGACTACAGGGGAATAGACTCAAGGCCCAAGTTCCAGTCCAAGTTCACACTGGGTTTTCACATTTAGATGGAAGTGGAGTTGAAATAGCCTCATGGGATGTAGTATTGAGACACATAAGGAGACATGTGAAGGTAATACAGCTGATACTCAATTGAGTATGCGATTAGGTGGAAGTCCTTCGAAGAGTCTTGAAATCGATGTGTATGCGGAGAAAATAGCAAAACATTTAGATGGTCATAGTGGGGGTCTTTCATGCATGAGGTTGGTAGTGTTACTTTGCAGTGGTCATAGTGGGGGTCTTTCATGCATGAGGTTGGTAGTGTTACTTTGCAGTGCCAAACTATTGGTGTCTCTATGGGGTGAGAGGTGCTCCAGTGTCCATGTTCTTGATGCACCTAAAGAAGATGATAGCAAAGAGGAATTCTCTATGTCAGAAGGTTCATGTTCATGTGGTTGGGAGTTTGACAGGTGTGGAAGCTGGTATTTTGCCTCTTTTGTCCAACCAACCTGCTTCAATGTCTGAGGTGATTGCTAAAATAAGTCAGAGCAGATTTTTTTGAGTAACATGAAAAAATATTTTGTTGAAGTCGAGATAGATTATGCACATATGAAAAGCATCCCTGAGATTTAAATGGCCTATCACTACCTTTTAGCCCCCCCAAAAAAAAATAAATAAATTTTCTCTTTTCATCCCTCGTTTTGCGAGAACATCTACTAGCCCAAGTAACATAAACCATTTCGTTACTTGTGAGGTTCTTTATCCCTCTCATTTATTTTTTACACTGCAAGGAACCTTGTCTCAATTTGAATCCATCCCACTGCCACTTTGGAATTTAATCAGCAAATTTGTATAATAGAGACTTTTTGCCAGCCTCAACCCTTGTAGAACACTATACTGCTAACATTTCTGATCTTGTAGAGTTTCCATGTCCTACTGGTCTAGAAAACAATGCTAGGATATCCCCCTTACAATTCCTAAACACCCCCCCCCCAAATTCCTGACCAGCCCAGATTGCCTCTACTGCATCCATCAAAATACAGTTAAGTTTGTTGGTGGTGGTTTCCATCGAGGACTAACAGCAACACTATTACACTAGTAGTAGAAAAGTTAGTCACCACTCTAGTAGTAGTTGATCCTGCATCAATTACTTTATATACCTACTGAAACGGTTGAAAATATCTATACATAGCATATATAAAAATGAAACCTCTTATGAAGTAGGCAATAGATAACTAAGCAAGGCTCTATCTTTTGGCATTGGTAGTTAAGGAGTTTAAGAGTCTCAGAGATGACAGTGTTAAATCCAGTTGTGATATCATCAGTGGAGTTAGATATTTAATTTTTGATAAAAGGGTCTGTGCCATGTCTTCTTTTCTTATATGCTTATTGCTGTTGTAGTATTAATGCTGTATTTTTGGATCCCAAGACAATCTTTTCTTCACACTTAATGGTAGTATTTTTTTTTATGAGTAATAGTGCTTAATGGTAGTAAATATTATGGTAAGACATAAAAACAGCCTTCTAACATGAAATTACCTGCAACAAAGAAATCTTAGAACAAAACATACCAGATAATAGATGTCAGTTTCCACTGACAGTGAAAGCGAAATGGAACATAAAGCAAAGGGCATAGTTAATGCATAACAGTTAGATTTTTGAGAATCAAGAACAATTCAAAAAACAAGAAGAAGAAGAAAAATCATTCTCACCGCAAATGCCATCATTGACTCTTGAAGAAAACAATGAAAGAGGAGTATGTCCTGCATTCCGACAATAGAATTTTCCTCCTGGGCATGCTGATGTTCCTGCAAACCAGAGAAAAAAAATCATAAACATTGACAAAAAATTTTACAGAAAGTAAACATAAAGTATACCAGCTCCTGCATTTGAGCTTAATGAACAATGTTATACCAATTAGGTCTAACAAAAAAGGTATAAGGAACCCCAAATCCCATGCAAGCTACTTCAAGCCAGTAGCTCCGCATCTATAAAAAGTTCATAGCACAAGCTAATTTTATCAAAAAAAAAACAGCTCAAGCTAATAAAATAACCTAACTAGGCAATACCCTTTCCTAAACGTCAAACTGGGCCTCTCATTTTCGTTGTTTTTTTTCTTTATACTTACTATTCGTAATGATTAACCGAACCAAAGATTAAGAACAGCTAAACTGGAAACCAAAACCATCCAGAAAAGCCCATATGGAAACTAGAAGCTTAGAAAAGGAACACGAAATACCTACTCCCATTACATCGATGGGAGGAAAAAAAAAAAGCTAAAATGACAAACCTGGTTCATCAGTTCCATCGGGGCAGTCGCAGAAGTCATCGTTTATCTGAGCTCTGGTGAATCCTTTTGATCCATCTTTGCATTTTATGAACTCTGACTGGTAGTGTTTCTCATCTAGAGACAACGAAGAATTCCAGAAACATTTAGTAGAATAAGCAAACATGAAGTCAACTTAACCTTAAAGACAACGCGAAGATAAACAACTCATCACCTCCAGGAGCAATTCCAAGCAAGTCTTTCGACACAGCAGAAGCTGATCCAAGAATTGGAAGCAGAAACAAGAGGCCCAGTAGCAGACAAAGTCGCTGGGTTTTCATCTTCGAATGAAGTCCAAAAGAAAGAAATTCCAGAGAATGTGAAGCAAATAAATGAAACATGTAATTTTTTTTTTTTTTCCAACCAACTGAGATTGCGATAGGCAAAGACAGAATGTTTCCTTTCTCTGTTTTCTCGGAGATCTTAAAATACCTCTTACAGAGAGAGAAAGAGAGAGAGAACAGTGGACAGTTGGGACATGTTGGGAGCGTTTGTTGATAGCAGATCTGAACTCGAGAGGGTGAGGGAGTGTGTACGGGCGTGCAGCTGCGCCGTTTTCACTCGCGTGAATGTAGCACATGTATTTGGATTTGGATTGTGGTAGTTACGGTCCATGAGAGTCCATGACAAGACGAAAAAGGTAACGGTCCGTAACGCCATGTCCATTGGATTTTTGTCGAAGGAAACAGGCTACCCGACCCCCCGGCTCCGAATGAGGAGGATCCTCCTTTTGGAGGGGTTCATATTCCATACTTTTTTTTTGGGGGGGGGGGGTGTGGTAAATTACAAATACCTCCCCTTTCCATGAACTTTTACTTTGTGACAAATATATCCTTGCATTAGAGTTTTATTAGTTATAACTTCAGAAATGATTCTCACTCAACTGTTTAAAATTCGTGTGGAAAAAATCCAGATTAGTATTATGTACGTTGGGTGTAGTGTCATTTTGGTCTCTTAACTTTAAAATACAATAATTTAGTATCTGAACTTTCAAAAAGTGTCAATCCAATACCTGTCATTAAGTGGCATTTGAAAAGACATAAATGCCCATTTTAGTGTTATCTAATTGTTTTTATCAACCATCCAAACGTTAATAAAAAAATGAACAATCCCAAATCCTTACTTTCTCTATTTAAAAAAGTTGGGGTTACTAGAATGCCCATTGAGATGTGACCCCAACTTTCTTGAATAGAAGAGGCAAGAATTTTGGGACTATTCATCTTTTTTGTCAATGTTTGGATGGTTGATTAAGAGAATTAGATGACACTCGAAAGGGCATTTGTGTCTTTTTGAGTGCCACTTAAACAAATTTGACTGGCATGTTTTGAAAGTTCGGGTACTGAATTGTTGCGTTTTAAAGTTCACAGACCAAAATGACACTAGGCCCAAAGTACAAAGTACTAATTGAGAATTTTCCCAATGTTTAAATCTCTAAGCTATCATTTTCTTATTTATTTTAACAACTTATTATTCAATTAGTTTTCTAAATATGATATTGGAAGTCCTTCCCATTGCTCCAATAAATCTTTGCATATATCTAGTTGGATTTTATATTCAAATGAAATGATAGAGGTTTCTTTTTTATAGTCCGTTTGATTTTTTCTTTATTTATTGGAAAATGGAGTGGATCATTTTTATATTTTAAGATGAAGAGAGACATTTGTGTCGGTGAAATGAAACAACAATTTAAATAAACTTATTTTTCTATGCTAGTGAAAGGATTATTGTTATTTCAAGTGGTTTCATTTGGAAAAAAATTAGGTATTTTGGGTCAATTAGGACTTAAGGCTCTGTTTGGAAGGAATACAAATACAAATACGTAGAGTGCAAAACCTTATATTTTGTATTATTTTGTATGTATTTGCGCTGTACATATTTGTATTTGTATTATTTCCAAACTGAGCAGGGGAAGAAAATAAGAAAAGTTAAGGTGGTATTTTGGTAATTTAATGCATCCTTCCATCTAACTTAATGGGTAGGGGTTATGTGTCGCAAAGTGAAAGTTCAGGATGTATATCACTACAACTGTTCAACAAATAGTAAAAACGATCAAACCGACCAAACCAATTCGACTCAATCCGAGCTGGTCGATTTATAAATGAGTTAGGTCAGTTTCGGTTTTATTCATTGTAAAATCCGATTTATTGGTTTGGTTGCGGGTTTTGATTTTGTAAATCGAACCGACTCTCCCATATTTTTTTTATTTCTTTTTGTAGTCTTTTATTTATTAGGTTGTACTTTTTCCTCATCCCATAAAAAGATGGGAGAGTGACAGTTTAGCCTGGGGTCATAATTTTTAGACCCAAAGTACAGTTGGGATGGGTGCCAACTCGAAATTGATGCCAATTCACAGGCGGGCATTGGTGTGTAGAATGGGGGTTTTTGACCATTTGAATGTTTCTAGCTCTGTAATGGAAATCATAAATCTGCATTGGGTCTATCCGTACTTCTCCATAAAAATATAACGGAAGACCACCACCTCTTAGTCTAAGAGATGGATAGCTGTACCAAAACTAGCATTGGGATGAGTTGAGTGATGAGGAGAAAGTACAACTATTAATATTGCAGTTTTCACCACCACAATCGATTAGCTTTAACGGTTAGCCAAGTAAACCGATCGATGTACAAAACAATATTATAATCCATTTTAAGAGTATGTTGGTCGGTTTCAATTAATACAAATGCCAACCTGATAGTATTGATTCAATTGATGTAATTAAACAAAACCAAACCGAACCGACCCATGTACAACCCTATCCATCACAAATGAAAGTTTAGGGGTATTTGTCATTAACCCCAAAACACAAGGGAGTTTTTATAACTTATCCTTTCTTTCTTAAGGCTATGTTTGGTTTGAAGGAAAATGTAGGGAAAGGTGGGAAAACCTTTACAAATCTTGTATTGGTTTTTCTGTCTTTCCCTACCTTTTCCTTCAAACCAAACATAGCCTAATGGCCTCATAGGGCATCCCATCCCCTTAACACCCTCGACCCTAGTGCAATAGGATTTGATCCAATATCACTTATACAAGAAGTCAAAGATCCAACCAAGTAAGCCACCATTAATAGGTCATACCCATAACATTTGACCCAACCAAAAAGGGCCTATTGATTAAGGTTGCAATTTGTACTAATGCAAAAACTTTGGCAATGCAAATGATTTGAGTGCAAATTGTGGTTTATTTTTTGTTTAAAATGTTATATTGTTTTGTTTGACTATTATTATTATTATTATTTTTTGGTAGTTAAGAGGATCTCATTAAAAAACTCCCAAAAACAAGGGACGAGAGAATACCCCCATATACTACTATAAAAGAATGCAAATATGTTGCACCTATTTTCTAGATTTTTTAGTGGACAAAAATGCCCCCATATTTGGAGAATTTTGGACTTAAAACAATAGAAAAGTTTGTGGTAAGGATGTCATTCAACTATTACATTGTTTTTTTTTCTTTTTTTTTTTGTACTTCAGCGGATATAATTGTGCCCCCAATGGGATTATTGTGTTAAAAAGACAAGGTGATGTTAAAAAGGTCTTTTTTTTGTGATAGGCAAAAAAGGTCATTTAACTTTAACATATGCATGGAATGCTCTTGTTTGTTTTTGTTTTTGTTTTTTTTTTTGGGAATTTTAAGTGGACAAAAGCGCCCCATGTTTGGACTTAAAACATGAGAAAACATCATGGTAAATGTGTCATTAAACTATTGAGATTATTGTAAGAATGTAGGGAGAAAATAAGGTGATGGTAAAAAATGTCATTTAACTTTAGCACTGAATGCATTTTTTAAGAGGACAATGAAAGAATGTAAAAAGTGTAACTAGTGCACTAGGGGTGAGCATGGGTCGGGTCTGTTCCAGGTTTTTGGAACCGGAGCCTATCCTATAAAAGGTTGGTTCTATCCTTGGTGGTTTCGGATAAGTTCCAATGTCTACCTATAGAACCTGTTATTTCTTTATTTCCCTCTTAAAAAATAATGAAGCATGTCATTTAAAAACATGATTTTCAATAACGATAATATATAGTTTAAAACTTATATTATCTTTATTTATTAAATGAGTAATTTAATATGTAGATTATCATAATATTTTAATATATATATATATGTGTGTGTGTGTGTGTGTGTATAGTTCAAAATTTGTCATTATAATTTAAATTTTGTAAATATTACATTTTATGTTATTTATTATACACATTCAAGTACTAAAATGAAAAACAAATAATCAAATCACTTAAGTAACTCAATGGTAAATTGAGACCATGGCTTTTGTAACCATGAGTGCTTAGGTTCAAATCTCCACATCCTTAAAAATATTTTGGGGTTTATTTCAAAGAAAGTTCAATTCCAATGCCAACCAAAGTTAGGGTAAACCCTTTGACCCTATAACTAACCTAGGTGGGGCTTGGTTCCAAGAATTTGGAACCAAACCCTACCCTATAACAAATTGGGTAGGGTCGATTCAAGGTTGGCTCGAGGTCGGTTCAATTTGGTTCCGGGTAGAACCTACCCATTTGTTCACTCCTATAGTGCATTATCCTATTGCTAATGTTCTAAAAGTTGTGATTGAGAGAGTTAGAAAGGTCATTTATTTTGAACCACAAAGAAACAACAATTTTAAAAGGGTAATTAATTATTTGTTGAATAATTTTTATTTCAGTGGACAAAGCTGCCCCCATTATTCAACCTTAAATGGAATGAAAGGTGATGATAAAAATGTAATTTGCTATTTTTTAATGCTTAATTATAAAGATATTGAAGTGGTGTAATTATCTGGCATTTTTACTCTTAATTTAGGTTAATTTTCTATTTAAAAGAGTTATTAAAAGTCGCATGGTAATATATTTTTTTTTAGAGTTAACTAATGGAATACTAACGAATGGGGTATTTGTAGGAATCTAAAAGTTCAAGGAGTCTTTGTTGCAAATGAAAATTCAGGGAGGTAATTGCCATACCCAAAAGTGAATGATAGTAAAATGTAATTTACATTTTTATTAATGATACAAATGGAGTACAATTTTAAAATTGACCCTTGAAACTATTTTTCCTCCGTGGGTAGTGGGTCAATGGTTCAACCATTTAGATCAATGGACCAACCCATGATGTTGTAGTTAAATAATATTTTTAAAAATAGAAAATACACTCAAAATACCTAAAATAAAATAAAAAAAAACGTAGACACATATCTAATACCATATACTAATTCATATTAAAAAATGTCTTATATGTATTAGTTCATGTTAGAAAAGACAAGTGTGATAAATAATAATTACTTTTATTACTGATTTAACGAAATACAAAGTTTATAACAAAATAGGTCAACTATCCAAGACAAACGGGTCAACGCATGATGTTATAGTTAAATTAAATAATAAAATTTAAAATATATATAAATACAAAAAATAGAGAAAATAGTAAAAATTTTGGCATGTTTCTAATATTATATGGCCATCATGTTAAAGAAAATAAAT